TAGCAATTTAGTGAGACCTTGTCTCCAAAAGAAAAGTAAAAAAAAAAATAAAAACAACAACAACAAACCAACAACAAAACCCGAAAGTAAACTGGGCCAGGGATTTAGCTCAGTGGCACCTTGCCTGGCTCGAAAGTGCAAGGTCCTGAGTTCAATCCCAGGGACCAAAAAAAAAAGTAAACTAAAGGGGGGGGGGCAGGCTGGAAATGTAGCTCAGGGTGAAGGCCCCAGGTTCAATCCTCAGTGTTTAAAAAATAAATAAATGAAAGAACTTGCCCAAGGCCATGGGGGGGGGGAGGTCAGGAATCTAGGGTGGAGGCTCACCCACCCTCACCTCACCTCACGTCAATTCCTGCCAGTGTGGAGCCTGGAGGGCCAGGGACAAGGAGTCTATCCGCTTCTAGCCCCACAGCCGAAAGCCGGCTTTGTGTATCCTGTCCCCAGCTCCAAGCCAGCTGGGCCACAGGAGGAGGCAGGGAGAAGGTAATGCCCGTGCTTTGCCGGCATCTGCCCAGTCACCTCCCTCCTGTCACCCAGGCTAAGCAAGGTGGTCACCTCCTGCATCATGGCCCTGGTCTGCGCCATTAACCTCTACTTCGTGGTCAGCTATCTGCCCAGCCTCTCCCACCCTGCCTACTTTGGTCTCATAGCTGTGTTGGCTGCAGCCTACCTGGGCCTCACTTCATACTTGGTACTGTAGGGCTAGGGGTGCCTTGGGGAGGAGGGAGCGGAGGAGAACATGCCACCTTGGGGGAGGGGAAGGGAGTGCACACAGATGGGGGCTTCCCAGAGGTCCTAGCCCCTTCTGCATTCATGATTGCCCCTCCCCCAGGCCTGGACCTGCTGCATCGCACTCGGAGCCACCTTTCTGACCCACAGCTCCCACCAGCACTTCCTGTATGGGCTCCCTGAAGAAAAGCAGAAGGATGGGGAGAGCTCTGGATGAGCCCAAGGGTGGCAGCCAGACACTTTTGGAGGCTGGCCCAGTGGGGTCCTTGAAGACTTGCTATTTTTAATTTAGATAAATGCTTAACCTCTGGGTCTGTCTCATCTGTAAAACGGGGGCAACCACCACTTTGACATGAATGTAAAGCACTTTTACACAGTACTTAGCACTTGTGGGTTTAAAAAAATCATTTAAAAATATTTATTGATGATGGGCACGCAGGCCCTGTAATCAGCACTCCGAGAGCCCGAGGCAGAAGGATCACAAGTTCGAACCCAGCCTGGGCAATTTAGCAATTTAGTGAGACCTTACTTTAAAATTTTTTAAAAGGGCTGGGTATACAGCTGAGTCCAAAGGTCCTAGCTTCAATCTGCAGTACAAAAGAAAGAAAGAAAGAAAGAAGGAAAGAAAGAAAGAAAGAAAGAAAGAAAGAAAGAAAGAAAGAAAGAAGGAAAGAAAGAAAGAAAGAAAGAAAGAAAGAAAGAAAGAAAGAAAGAAAGAAAGAAAGAAAAGAACTGAGCACTTATAAGAGTGACCCAATAGACACGCGGGGAGGGAGTGGAAGTGACACAGTCTCCAAACTGGCACTTAAAATAGAGGCTTACAAATACTAAACAAACACCAGCTTCCTTTTCTTCTAAAGAGCTAGGAACACAAGCCCGGAAGGCTCTAAAGCCCTGAGAGCCCTCAAACCTCTGGCTGGCTTGCGCTCTCCGCAGCTTTAGCCGCACCTGCAACCCGTTTCCCGGCAGTAAAATGAGGCGCGGTTATAAGGAACCCAAGAGTCCGTGCCTCCCGGGCCCAGTGCCCTTGCTATCTCCCCAAGGGACCGGGCAGACAGGACTCCCACGCTGTGCGGTTAATGCTCCGTCGGCGCTGATAGCTGGCTCCCCCTAGGGGCAGGGACGGTCCCGAGCGCCGGCGCTCTCGCTGGGCGTCACCCTTCAGGGCCCAGCGGAACTACTGGGCCGGCGAGAACCGGAATCTCCCGCCGGGGGGTGCAGAATCTCCAGCAAGGAGGTGGGGAGTAGCTGTGTGGGCCAGGGAACCCATTCTTTCACTAGGAGCGGCCGGGCACCCCTTCGCCCCGTGCGGAGGCTGTACTTTACAGACGGTCCCTAGGCTGTTTCTAGGCTCCCCTAAGTCCCACCTCCTGGCTCCCTGGGCTCCTCGGACCCCAGCCTGAGAGCCGCGGGGAGCAACAACGGGGTGGGGCGCCAAGTCTTTCACAGGAGTTAAACTTGGGGCAGGTGGGGTGCCTGCCCGCACCCCCGATTTTCCGGGGACCCATCAGGGCCGGCGGCCCGGCTCCGCGCTCTGGTTGGAGTGCTTGTTTATGATAAGAATTTTTTCTTTCTTAAAAGGGCAACGATGAGAGTGGGGCCCACAAGGACGGGATGGGACAGGTCTGTTGCAACCGTGGCAACTGCCAGTGAGGGTGCGGGGAGAGAGGGCCGCCCACTGCTTGCTCTGGGCTTGCCTCTGGAGCGGACGGGACCTACGCGGCCGAAGAATGGGGCGGTGGGGAAGAAGGGCATCGCCTGAATTCTTCTCCAGCTGCGCATACGTGTCCCGGCCGACCCTCCCCCCCATTCACTTGATATCAACTGGGCGCCAGTTCTGTGCCCGGCCCAGTGCCAGAGGCGGGGAGGAAGCAGAGTCCCAAATTAAAGATGTGAGCTGAGCTGTCAAGGAGTTCAACCCCAGGGGACAAGTTCAAGTTCCTGAACAGCAAGATGAGGCTAAGGGCACCTGACCCTGCCTGACCAAGTGAAACTAGGGCCCGCCCGAGGAGGTGACCCATGCACAGGGTTTTGAAAGAAGAAAAGAAAGAGGGACAGTCCCACGAAAGTGAGTGTGGCAGGGCAGTGTCTGGTGTGCACCGTGCAGGGAGTGGAACCTCCAAGGAGACTCCGGAGCCTGTGGAGCCAGGCGATGCAGGCTGCTCACAGGAACAGTGAGCCTAGAATTGGAACCGGGGCCAGAGATGATGAGGCACCGCTGAGGAGTAGTCCTGGGCCTGGCAGGAGTCAGCCACCAGCGCAGGACCCAGTCATGTTGTGCCACGGAGGGCCCTGCTTGGGGCTGCCCTCACCTCCGCAGTAGCCCTGGTCCCCGCGGCCCCCAGACTCAGCGCAAATAAGACCCTGGGTTCCGGGACAGGAAGCCTACTGAGGGTGCTCGGCCCCGCTCACTGTGCTGCCCCCTTCACCCTGCTTTTCCAGCCCCGTGGCATGTGAGCAGGTGGGCGCTGGACAGAGAAGACACTTGGCCTCGTTGCCAGACAGAATCCTGCTGAGTCCCCCCACCCCCCACCCTGGGCCTAGGAGCATCCCCGACAAGTGATAAAACAGATACAGATGATAGGGGGACAGCAGCCGGTGTGGACCCACACACACAAGCAAAGAACTTCCTTCACCCTACCCCCCGGCGTGGGCAGAGAGCTAAAAGGCTCCGGACCAAAGGCGTGTCCCCCTGCTCGCTGGGGGCAGCAGGGATGCGGGGGGCGGGCTGCCCTGCCCGGTTCTCCGACCCGTGCAGCCCCCCCCCCCCCCCCCCCGTCACAGAGAGGATCAGAGGGAGAGGGAGGAGACCGCACCGCCCAGTAGACCTGGGGCAAAGCCAGCGAGTCGTTCGGTCCCTGACCCTGCACTGCCTTTTGGGGTCCCTGCGGGTCGGACCCAGAAGGGCGCTGGCTCTGGGAGGCAAGGCCGAGTCCCGCTTGGCCCCGGCTGGAGGGCTGGGCTTGGCGCTGCTCTTCTGGGAGTTCGGTTTCCTTAGCTGTCACGGGAATACGAAGGGGGTCGCTCTAAAGAGCAAAGGAGATTAAGGGCACTGCCAGATCAAGACCTGGCGACAGATGGCCGAGGAAGCTGATAAAGTGCAAGGGTGGCGTTCCTGCAGATGCCCTGGGCACAGGAGGGGGCCGGGGTGGGCTGCAGGCGCGGGCCCGCCCCCCACACCCCGTCTGCCGGGCCTCCCCCGGCTCCCTCGGGCAGCGCAGGCTGACAGGCGCCCCGGGCGAGCGGGGCGAGCGCGAATCCAAGGCCGGACTGGGCCGAACGCGCCAGCCCCGCCCCGCCGCGGAAGACGGGAGGAAGTGCCGAGGCGCGTCCGTCAATTTTTAAATTGTGAACACAAAATGGAAACGATGAATGCAAGGAACTTCGTAATCGGGTGGGGGGGCACAGACCTCAAGGTGCGCTACACACGCGGGCCTGGAAACGCAGAGCCCCCTCCCCTCACGGTGTCCCCACAGCCCCGCCTGGAACCTGTAAGAGAGTCCCTAAACAGTTGACACTGGTTCCTCTGGGCACTCGGAGCCAGCACCCTCGAATAAGGCCGGAGTGGTCGGGGAGACCTCCGGTTGGTGGGAGGAAGCGTTCGAAGCCCAGGGCGTATGCGAAAGCCTTTGGCTGGGGAGAAGCCTGCTCCTCCGGACGCAAACACGGGTGGCGTGGGCGCTGGCGGTGGACGTTCGGGGCGACCCGCGAGGTAGTGAGAGTTGAAATTTTCACACCCGATAGACCAGGATCACAGGGCCCAGAGATTGCAGTGGCTGGAGGCAGTCCCAGGTAAAGAACCTAATTTTGTGGATTCCCAGAGCTATTTGGACCTACCAGTAGTACTAGAACCTTCGATCATCCACTACGTCCCTGCGAGGTGGCTTCTACCAACATCAGGCAGAAACCCCATTTTATAAGTAAATTAGCGTTATCCCATTTTCCAGATAAGCAGGCCGATAAGTGCCTGGTGCCGGGCCCTCCGAATCTGCAGAACCCGAGCCGCGCTGCCTTTAGGCGCTACAGGGTGTTGGCGCTCCTGGCCTCGGACCCCTGGCTCGGGGTCCAGGAAGGTGGGTCGGGTGTCCGCCCTGCCACGCAGCCGCAGTGGCTCCGTCCCGCCGGCGGGCGGCCGGAAAGGAAGCGACGCCCCCTGGATCTCGGCAGGAACCCAGCCCGGCCCGCCTCCCCGCCCTCGGAGCTGCGCCGGCCCCAGAAGTGATGAAAGCCTCGGCCGAGTCTTGGTCACGCCGAAGCCGTTGCCCTTTTAAGGGGGAGCCTTGAAACGGCGCCCGGGTTCCATGTTTGCATCCGCCTCTCGGGGAGGAAACTCCATGTTGTAACAAAGTTTCCTCCGCGCCCCCTCCCTCCCCCTCCCCCTTAGAACCTGGCTCCCCTCCCCTCCGAAGCTCGCGGGGATCCCTCCCCTCCCCCCCGTGCCCCGATTCCGGCCCGAGCCGGGGGGGAGGCCGGGCGCCGGGGCCAGAGTCCGGCCGGAGGGGAGCGCGCCCGGCCCCATGGACAGCTCGGCCGTCATTACTCAGATAAGCAAGGAGGAGGCGCGGGGCCCGCTGCGGGGCAAAGGTACTGGGGTGGTGAGGAGGGGGATGCCGTCTGCGCGTGTCGAGAGGGGAGGAGGAGGGGACCGGAGTCTGTCCCTACGCTGCAGCCGCTGCCACCGCCCCGGGCGCCCGCCTTGGTTGGGTCGGAGCTCCTGGCCCGAGAGGCGGTGAGAGCAGAGTTTGAACTCTAGGAGTTTCCGAGACATGGGGCGGGGCCTGGCGCCTCTAGTACACCCTTGTCTGACCCAGGTTGGGAAACTGAGGTTGGGATAGGGAGGGGACCTCTGCGGGGGCTCTTGGGCCGGCCTAGCCCGGGCGTCGCCCCCTCCCCCCAGGTTGGCGCCAATGGGGCTGCGGGGTAGGGGGTTAGGTGGACGCCTTCGGGTCACCCGCTGAGACTCCGCCCCTCAGTCCTTTGGTCGGGTCGGGTCTTGGGAGGGGGCGCGGAGGTGACAGCGGCCGGGAAGGCTTGGAGGATCTCCCGCCAACCCGCAGCCACGTTTCCACAAACTTCCGAGTCATGCGTGGAGGCGCCGAGCACCTCCGAGGCACAGAGGGGCCCGCACTCCCACCAGTTCCTGCGCGCCCGCCGGGACAGCTTTGTGTCCGTAGGGGACGCTGCCCCAGGGCTGCAGGCCGTGGGCGCCCAGGATGTGCGCCCAGGATGTGCACCCAGGCACCAACCCGGGAACCCCCACTGAGGCTGTTCCCCCGGGCCGGGAAGCCAGGGTGGGGGTCCCTCCTGGGCCTCGTGTGGTTCTCGGGGCTTGGAAGTCCTCGAAGCTCTATCCACTTCCCGCCTAGGCCTAGTGCGGCCCGGGCCAGGGCAGGGGCGGGGGCGATGGAGGGTGGGTCTGTCAATCAGCAGCCGCCGCCTTGCTGCAGGTCGGCGGTCTGGGCGGGGCGGGGCGGGACAGAGGAGGCGGGGCGGGCAGATGGCGCGGGACACTGGCTTCACTCCTAGGGACTGCACCCCCTAGCTCTAAGGACTTTGAACCTGAAGGGACAGGATGGAGGGAGAGTGGGAGTGGGCGATGGGGCCCCTGGGCCTGAGGAGAGGCTGCCCAGGTAAGGTGGCCAGATGATAGAGGCTGTGAGAGAGCAGCACCTCGTCCCCTGCGTCACTCGCCAACACAGGTGCCTTTGTATCCACACTGGACTCCTGGGGAGGTGACCCAGGGGCTGGAGCAAAGACTGGCCGGGCCCTGGCAGGCGGGTTTCAGGGAGGATCAGAGTCTCCTTACTGTGCCTCCCTGAAGGAAGGGGGCGTGGCTAGACCAGCTCTGGGGTTTGCACCTGGGCTGCCTGCCTCTGCAGCCCAGTGTGTCCACGTCCCCATCCTGGGCCTCCCTGCTTCAGGTGACCAGAAGTCAGCCTCTTCCCAGAAGCCCCGGAGCCGGGGCATCCTCCACTCGCTCTTCTGCTGCGTGTGCCGTGAAGATGGGGAGGCCCTGCCCGCCCACAGCGGGGCGCCCCTGCTGGTGGAGGAGAACGGTGCCATTCCCAAGGTTCGTGGAGGGCAGGTGGGGGCACCAGGGGATCTGGGCTCAGCTAGGAGGGAGCTTAGGGAAGGGCTCCTGGTGGAGGTTGTGTGACCCCACTCAGCACCCTGGGAGGGTCAGAGAAGGGGGAGCCCTACTCCTAAGCCCTCCTCCTTCCCCCAGGCCCTCAGGCCTGGCTCTGTCTGCCCCAAGACTGCTGCCCACTAACACAACTCTGAGGGGCTGGGGATTTAGCTCAGGGGTGGGATGCCCCACTGTCCCCATGTGTCCTCAGGCCGCCAGGGGAGGGATGCCTCTGTCGGAGGTCCCCCCCCCCAGCCCTGCCCCTCCCCACAGCAGAGCCCAGTGCAGTACCTGCTCCCCGAGGCCAAAGCCCAGGACTCAGACAAGATCTGTGTGGTCATCGACCTGGATGAGACCCTGGTCCACAGCTCCTTCAAGGTGGGTCCTGAGCCTGGGAGGGGCCTGCTCTGGCGGGGGGATGGGGCTCCCCACCCTAGCTCCAGCAGCTCTTTTCCCCCTGCAGCCGGTGAACAACGCCGACTTCATCATCCCGGTGGAGATCGATGGGGTGGTCCACCAGGTGAGGGCTAGGGAGAGATGGTGGGCTTGGCATCTGCCCCCAGGCCCCATACTCTTCCCACCACTCCGGAGCGAGCCCCAGATGGGACTTTGATAGACGTGGAATGGTGGCGGCCCAGAGAACGTGTGAGATCTGCCTGAGGTCACACAGAACCTCCAGGACTTGGCTGACTCCGGGCCTCTGGCCTGGCCTCGATGTGCCCTCTCACCCCGCACCCCCTTGCCCGGGACCCAGTTCAAGTAATTCAGGATAGGTTGTGTGCTGTCCAGCCTGTTCTCCATTACTTGGCTCGGGGGCCGGCGCCCTGCAGCCTTGGGGTGAGGGGCTGTCCTCAGGGTCCTGCTTGTTTTGAGGCCAAGGTGAGGGAAGAGACTGGGACTTTAGTGACTCCCTAGTCGGGATCTGCAGCTGCTGGGCTTGAACCTTGTCTTGATCCTCTGGGACACTGGGTGGTTGGACAGCTGGCCAAGGGACACCACTGGCCCTGGCTCCTCCACCTCCTCCACCATTCCCTCCCAGCCCTCTGCTGCCCCCTCCCCAGCCCGTGGGCCACAGCCCCTCACTGGCCCACCCCCCAGGTCTATGTGCTGAAGCGGCCCCATGTGGATGAGTTCCTGCAGCGAATGGGTGAGCTCTTCGAGTGCGTGCTGTTCACAGCCAGCCTGGCCAAGGTGAGCCTCTACCAGGGATGTGGGGTAACCTCGCCCTCCCATCTGCCTCCAGCATGCAGCCAGATGGAGCTCTGGGCCACTCCCAGCCCTTGGATGACCCACCTCCCACCCCCAGTATGCAGACCCAGTAGCTGACCTGCTGGACAAGTGGGGGGCTTTCCGGGCCCGGCTGTTCCGAGAGTCATGTGTCTTCCACCGGGGGAACTACGTGAAGGACCTGAGTCGGCTGGGCCGAGACCTTCGGCGGGTGCTTATCTTGGACAACTCCCCAGCCTCCTACGTCTTCCACCCAGACAACGCCGTGAGTGCTGGAAGACCACACAGGGCTGGGACCAAGGGACAGGAGCCCATCCAGGCTGCCTTGGGCTCCATAAACCTAGATCCAATGGTGTCAAATGGCTGTGCCTTTCCATGCCTGTCACCCATGCACACCACTGTTGCTGCCTGGTACTTGGTTAATTGGTCCATTCCACCTGTATGTGGACAGTGCCCACCACCAGGCAGTAGGGACAGCTTTGGCTTTTCAAAGTGCCAGTTGTGACCTAGTAATGGGCCACAGAATGAATGTAATGAGTCTTGATTGGGATTTTTAACAAAATGAAACAATAACAAATAATCTGAGTACTTAAAGTGTTGCTCTGTGAAACTTTTACCGTATATGTGTCACTCAGAGTTGCTGTCCAACCGTGAGAGCTGTGGATAAGGGCTTCCCTGGAACTGGGCAGCCTGAGTAGTGGGTGCTTAGGGCTGGCCTGGACATTCAACACCCTGGCCTGCCTGCACCCTCACCTTCCTCTTCCCATCTCCCCAGGTCCCGGTGGCCTCCTGGTTTGATAACATGAGTGACACTGAACTCCATGACCTCCTACCCTTCTTCGAGCAACTCAGCCGAGTGGATGATGTGTACTCAGTGCTCAGGCAGCCTCGGCCCGGCAGCTAGTGAGGCGCCGTGGGGCCAGGACCTGTCCTAGGCAGAAGCCTGCACCTCCTGACGCACAGACTCTGGGTACTTGCCTGTACTCTGTTAAGAAAACCTGCGGGCTGCACCATGTTCATGGCCCTGGGGAAGCAGGCATCTCCCTACCAGCCCCACTGGGCTGCACCAAGGACGATGAGCCCTGGGCCCATGTCAGTGCCTTCAAACCTCCTCTCCCCTTTTCAGGGGGCCTGGGAGGCTGTGCCTGCTGCTTACCCTTTCTGTCTCCTTTCTCCGTGCTGCCATGTTTCTGTGCTGCCAAATTGGGCCCCTTAGCTCCAGTTCTGCTTTGGGGGTGGAGGCAGGGTTTCTGACCCCCCAGCCCAGGAACAGTGGACACCAAGTGCCTTGCATAGACACCCCCCTTCCCTGTCAGCTCTCCCAAGGGCAAGGACACAGGTGGCTGCACTCTAGGTGTCCTGCCCAACCCCTACCTTGGGACTGATGGAGCAAGCAGCAGTTTCTTCCCTAGGGAGGGCCGGGAGGGGAGGTCTGTGACCACCTGTGAAGGAGCAGCCATTCTTCCTTCAGGATCCCACAGCTCCACCTCTCCAAAGCTGGACCCCTGCTTCTGCCTTAACCACCCCAAGGCCCTGTGGCTTGGTTCCCTGAGCTCTGAGTATGGGGGCATAGGCAGGACCCCCTTGTGGTGCCATATAAATATGTATATGTGTATATAGATTTTTAAGGGAAGGAGCGAGGGAAGGGTCAGGGTAGAGACACCCTTCCCTCGCTCCTTTCCTGGGCCCAGAAATTGGGGGGAGGGAGAGAAAGGATTTTTACATTTTTTTAAACTGCTATTTTCTGAATTGAACAAGCTGGGCCAGGGGGCTGAGGCTCTGTCCTCCTCTGTCCCTCACAGCCCCTTTGCTCTGTTCATTCAGAAATACTCTTTGAGCACCTTCTATGCCCACCAATGTGCTAGGTCCACCAGCTAAGTGAGTGGGGGAGTCTCCACCCCCTAATTGGTGCCTCTCCCCACTCGACTTCACAGGTGCCTTCCAGGTATCTGCAGGAGGTGGGACTTTCTTGGGTTTGGGGGTTCTCCAGAAAACCTGGCCAGGTTGTCCCCCTCCCTTGTGCCAACCCACCCCCTGCAGCCTCCTCTGACCCCCTGCTGGCTGGGGCCCCCTGCTCCCAGTCCTGCCTTCCAATTCTGACTTCTGTTTCTGAACCCCTGCCCCGCACCAGTGGAGTCTGGAGGTCAAGGCCTTGTGTTCTCCCCAGGGTCGTAGAGTTAAGGGGACCCCCAATGCCAAGGGAATTGGTGGGGGAGGGAGGCTACAGTTGGCCTGAGTCAAGGGTGACCATCCCGTTAAGTGCCTTCTCTGACGGCCTCACAGTGTGATAACTAAAGAGAAAGCCAGGTCCGTCCTGCTTCTGTGGTTTTTGGTCTGTGCCATGTGACCCTGCTTCAGCAAACCCCGGGTGGGGGCAAGAAGAGGGAGAGGCTGCTCAGGCCCTGCGGCAGGGTGGAGAGCACAGCCTTGGGTTGGACTTGTGCACCTCAGATTGTGGTAATGAGTTATTTTGTCTCTGGACTTCAATGGTTTGATCTGCAAAATGGAGACAGACCTTAGGCACACTGTTGAAGTCCCTGACACTGAAGATTCGAAACTTAGTTATAAAGCAAAACTACAACGCCCGGAAAGGAGCGGGCCCTGCGATGCCCGCGGGGCGGAAGGGCGCGTGGCTGGCGGAGCCCGGGAGGCCAGGTTCTGCTCCCCAGGCTGGCGGGTTGGCCTGCCAGGTCGTTGGCGTCCTGGAGCTGTGGGCTGTGTACTGGAGCCGCAATCTCCAGCCTAGGGATAGTTCGGCAGACTGGGTGGGGCTGGCGCCAACTCCCGGCCGCTGCCCCACTTCCTGCCCCGCCCCACGGTCCGCGGGCGCTTCCTCTACGGACCTCGCGGCCCCGGCCGGGCAGGAAGTTCCCTCGGCCCGCTTCCCTCGCCGGCCACTAGGGGCCTCCCTGTCCTCGGGGACCCGGGTCTTCCCGGGGCCTGGCCTTCGCGTACCTACTTCACCACCCAGGGACCCACCCCACTCCTCCTGCAACCCGGGACTGGGAAGACCGGGACCTGCCTCATTCTCCACTCCTGTGAAGGTGGGGTCCATCGCACGTGTCGGTCCCTGTTCCCGCAGCCCCGCACCTGGCCGTCGTTTATCTGGCGAATGTAGCCCCAAATCTGCCTCCTGCAGCCTCAAATCTGCCTCCTGCAGCTTCAGCTGTTGAATGCCCCGATTCTATGTGCAGGGCATTGCACTGGGCGTGAAGCCGCCCCTTCTCCCACGTCCCGCCCCGCTCCTGCTCCTTTTATCCAGTAGGGAAGAGCCAGAAATCACCCACCTGGGAAGAGAAGCCTGCAGTACCCTGGTGTCAACTCTGGTCTGACTGGACCAGGAGAGCCTCAGCAAGATAAATACCCAGCCCCTGGCCTCAGCCTATCCTGGAGGACCTGCTCTAGTTCCTGCTCTCCATGTAAACACTAGTCGCCCCAGATTTGCATCCCGGAGGCCACACAGGCAGAGCGCCCAGGTTTGAGTGAGACCATAGTCAGGGTTTCCTACCACCACCTACACACCCTCCACCTAGGCAGAGTTCAACCTGACCACATTGCAGGTGCTTCCCTGGGCCAGGCACAGCGCCAGGAGCAAGCTGTGTCACTGCTGCTCTCAAGGAACTCAACCCAGAGATATAAACTCATTGATTGGGAGGGTGGAAATCGAGGTTTTGATCTTTTAAGTATGAGTGTTATATCGCTAGGATGAGTTATTGACCCTGCTTCTGGATGCCTTAACTTTGTTCCTTCAGCAGTAGTTGCTGCAGAGGCCCCAAGTGTCATCCAAAGGTAAAACCCTGGGTGGCCCATTCTAAACACATTTCCATAATGGAAGCATTCTTAGTTAAGAGAAAAACAAAATGAGAAAACAAAGATTTAGCAATAGTAACTACAAAAAGTAATGCTACCTATAATTTAAGAAGTCAGATTAGAAGAGCTTCAGTGGCCACAAGCATTGACACCTTGGCTTGTCTTTTGTAGCTTTTGCTATAATTTTTATAATTTTTAGTAGAGGTTGAGGGAGTAGCTCAGTGACAAAGCACTTGCCTCACAAGCATGAAGCCCTGGGGTTGATTCCCAGCACTGAAAAAAGAATTCCAATAACATTTTTTTTTTGGTACTGGGGATTGAACTCAGGACCTTGCAGGAAAGGTGCCACTGAGCTAAATCCCCAGCCCCCAGTAACATTTTATCAGAAACTCTTTAATTTCCTGTTCCCTGGTCAGCTTCCCAGCCACAGTACCCTGGTGAAGGGTCTGCAAGGGAATGGATTTAGTACAGGACACATAATTTACAGGATTATTTTATAATATTCACCCAAAAAGTCAAATGCAGAGGAGCGCAAGAGATCTGTCTATACACTTGAGACCCAAAGAATCCAGCTGAGGGCCTGGATCCATAGCATTGTCCTGCACAAGTCCAGCTGAAGGCCTAGAGCCCAAGGCAATGTTCTCCGAGAGTCTAGCTGGAGGCCTGGAGCCCTTGGCAATGTCCCAAAGGTCAGTGGTGGAAGCTAGAAACCCTGTGCCAGTGTGATGAAGGATCAGTGCCACCAGGCTGAGGGATCCATACTGGAGCCAGGAAGTGATGCTTAAGGTGAAGACCAGAGCTCCCCTGACGAGATCAGCAGCCATTCCCAGTGACATCAAGGACCTGAGCTCCTCCTCCAACAAGAACAGCGAAGTGTACATCAGGAAAATCAACAGCATATGATCTTCCCCTCCAGTTCTCTTTTTATGCCTTTGGCAACAATCCTCAGGTGGGTCTTCCATGCCCAGAACCATGCTTACTCAGTTCAGCTGGGCATTCCAAGTTGATCTTTAGTTAATCCAGCATATGTGGAAAGTAAGATGTCCCTTTGGAATGACCTGCCTCGAGTTGATTGGGGTCTCTGGAACATGGCTATTGTGTTCATTTAGAAATGGCCTCAACACAATCCCCTCAATGGGTGTCACATCACTGTCACTCAGGCAAGCAGAATGTAGACAGGAGTACTGAGTGGCAGGGTGAGCAAGCCCTGACTGAGCCCACCTTAGGCTGGTTCACCCTTAGTCAGTTTAGAGACTTTCTGATTGCGTAGAGCTCCACTTTGTAGAATTAAAATGTAAGCAAAAGACAGCCTGCTTGCTATGGTAATTTGTCACACTGGACCAACAAAGGGTGGTCTGAGCCCCAATACCTGGCAACAATTTAACCTCCAAGCAGAGCACACTCCCAATCAAATGGCACGCCAAGTGAAACAAAGTTCTAGCGCTATCACCAGTTCCAGAACAAATTCAGAATAAGCAAAAATAAGTAAAAGGAATATATGAAAATATAGGCAAAAACAAATCAAAGACTTGAAAACAGAGTCCTAGCAATGAGCCAGACACCATTATGTCTGTGGAAGGAATTGTCCAAATGGTCCAGGAGACCATTTCCTCCAAGGTGACACCCAAAGGGTCCAGAATGCCTTCAGGTCAAATCATCAGCAATGAAACAAGGACTTTTCACTGGGCAGAGTCCCCAGTGGCTGGTGTCATTTCAGAATGAATATTTGCAGGGTGGAGTCGCAAGGTACTGCTATTTATATCCTAGGACATGTGTTACTCAGCATCCATATGTCAGTTTTGGAGGGAAAAGCTTCAGTTGCTATCTTATTTGTATTTCATCCCAGTATCCTCCAATGGCTAAAGACCAGCCACTTACCTTAGTCATGGCTTGTGATAAGAAAATCTCAAAATGAAGTTAGTGCTGTCAAAGCATAGTCACGGTCATCATAATTAAATACCAGTTCATTTAGGCTCAGGAGAATCGTAACACCGCAAAACATTCATCACATACCTAGTGTGGAGAAAGAACATGAACAGAGAGATGATCTAATCACTGCAAACACGGGTGCAAGAGATCATAGAGGGCAGAATGTGAGGGGGATATCTACCACCCCGGGTGGCCCTGGGTGATGGGAAAATGCTCCCTGCTGGAAGAGGAGTTTGGAAAGGAGTCAGGAAGGTGGCCTGAGCAAGGAGCAAGGTAGCCGGTGAGCAAAGCTTCAGGGGCTGGCCACAGCAGGGAGTGGGAGGTAGCAAAAATTTTCTAACAACAGGGAAGGATGGGAAAGGGGGCTGCGGATCTATAACAAGATCAAGAGAGTGGCCTTTTTCTTTTTTGGTACCGGGGATCGAACTCGGGACCTTGCGCTAAAGGCAGGCACCAGAACCACTGAGCTAAATCCCTGGCCCTTTTTCTTGTAGGCATGGGCACTGTTGGAAGCCAAATTAGGTGTACAGGGATACGAGACCCTATTGGAGGCCACAGTCACAGTCTCAAAGATGCAGAAGGAAGGCCTGAACTTGGGTGCAAGCAGAGTAAAGAGAGAAGGAAGGAGGATGGATGTGAGAGAGGAGATAACCAGCAGGAAGTGAGCATGGTTAGCTCTGGAGAGGGGCGGAAAGGGAGGGAGGGAGGGGGGTGACCACCCATCTGGCTTTGGAGAGGTCAGCTGTGAAAACGTCTCTAACTGATCTTGGTATGGGGCAGATATTCATATTTGCTTGTCACACACACACACACACACACACACACACACACACACACACACACCAGAGAATTCAGGGTAATAGGCACCCCATGCAATCCTGGTGGCAGGAGTGTTCAGCAAGGTAGAAACTTGCTGAAGAGCAACTTGACAAAAACCATCAAAAAATTAAAATGCAGACACCTTTTAATCTAAACAATTTCACTTTCAGGAATTTACCCTATAGATATAATATATATAACTTGGTATTCATTGTTTATAGGGATTATATGCAGGGTCTTTGTACATGCTAGGCAAGTGCTCTACCACTGAGCTACATCCCCATCCTACCAATAAATATGGAGTTTTTTTCTTGATTAATGTTTTTAAATGGTCTATCTCAACTAAAAATAAAAACAAAAATTAACACCATGACTTTTTGGTGTGTGTATATGTAGTACTGGGGATTAAATTCATGGCCTTCATACTGAGCTACATCCTTACTGCTTTTTAATTTTTTTTTTTTTAATTTTGAGACAAGATCTTGCTAAGTAGCTAAATTGCCTAGGCTGGGCTCTGACTTGGATCCTCCTGCCTCAGCCTCCCGGAATGGTGGGATCATAGGCATATGGCATCACACTCGGTTTACTGTTTCCTTTTTTTTGACAATCAGTTAGAGCTTTGTTTAATAGCTGGAGCCCAGAATGTGGGAGAATTAGAGAAACAAACACTCATGCAGTAAAGCGATGTAGCCCTTACTATGACCTTTCTAGAGGGTGGTTTTCCTAGTCACATCGTTGAGTCAGCAGTTTCA